GTAATGAGCATGGAAATCGGGACATAAGTCCTTTTGTATCATTTTCCCTTGCCTCCGTAGCACCCTACCACCAGTCTTCCTCAACGTAGTATGGATGAACGTGTTTACTGATGTACGAAAGAGCGGGAAGACCGTGAGCGTAGTCCAAAGCCCAAACAGCAGAGTGGGAGCACAACCTGGGGGGGCTCAGATTCCCGCGTAGTTCAACACGCAGTAAAACTATCAATTTTACTGCCATACATCTTATCGGGCACAATTTGTACCGATCATGCTACTGATCATCAGTCCTTCCGAAGGCACGAATATAGAATATCGCCAGTGATTCAACACACATCTGCAACCACCCTCACAACACCATCCCCAACTTCCTTTCACTGTTTGATTTGCATTTCTCAAAATCTTCAGTTCTTTATGAGTACACCACCACTCATATCCACTCTGCTCTAGAAACTAACCTGAAGTCAAATTATGCCCCTGAGAACAGGCAATAGAACCAAAAGTTGGCAAAGATATTAAGTGGAACACTGGCATATTTCAATATTAAGGAACCAACATGGAAATGGATTGCGAAAAGTACTCCCAAGCGCGTTTGACCTGCACTCTGGTAAACTCCGCATCCCATGAAGTGCAAAAGACTATGTTTGCCCGCCCAATCGGTCCAACGCCCAGGTCACGCTGACACGGCGTCCACCAGTCATCTTTGGACTCACTCATTTGATTCCTGGCACTACTCAGCATCTTTTCATCAGTGATGCAGTAGCGCGCTCCTATGCGACTCACAGCCTCTGAATGTGGTATGAATACTGTCCATATCTGCAAACAAACCCCAAAATTGTCAAAAAATCCTAACTCTTCTCTTCAAATGTCGGTCACATTCCATACCAAAGTTTGGTAAATTAAAAACTCAAATAAGCCAACCAACCTGTCTGATGGGAGTCTAGTGCTGCATTGCTTGCGCCTTACCTCGTCACATATCGCATCCAATCCGACCTCAAAAAGAAGCGTACTCTCCAGCACCACGATAGGCGGGTCTAAGTAGTCTCCGGCTTGCAGTCGATTAACTTCCAATTTGACAAAGGAAACAATTTTTGATTGCTCAAAAACATTAAAATGAAGAGGTGCATCCAACCGCTTTATTGGTTCGAGATTAAAGTAAATTCCGAGGTTCATGCAGCTTTGAGGGGAAGATCTAAAATATGAAAAACAAGTTGATTAGAGAGAGCAAAGAAAATCTTCCTGGTTTGCAGTGAATACAGTGATAGATTCAATAAGGATGGTTGTGTCAACTCTTAGTTAGGTCTCCTTGAATATGAACCAGCAGTACTCTCCTCCTCTTAACAAGAAGGGAACACCAATGTCTGATTGCCATGCCGAAAAGGCATCTTCTAGAGATTTTTAAATGCACGAAGATCCATAGCAAAATAGATGTCAAGGTGAATTCTGGCAACTATTCTAGTCGGAAGTCCCACATCAAAAACAGCAGGGAAGCGAGGCTTACACTGAACGAATTCAAATGGTCCATTAGAAGGACTAGGCATACAGCTTGTAACTCCTGGATAGGCACTGAAAACACAAAATCGAGGCAGCCATTTCATTTCACCATAACAGCACAGTCATGTCTGATTCCGAACGTTGGTTATCTAGACAATCTTACAGTTGACAAATTATTAGCTCTCCGCAACTACAGATATTAAGATTTAAGTAGTGTTTTAGAGCAGATTCAGCCTTTCTCCAAAGGTCTCGAAAGGTGTTAGTATGCTCACCTCTATGCTATCTCACGTTCACTTTTGCAACAAAACACTTACACTGGAATCCCCAAAACATTATTTTAAAATGTCAGTACTAAAAACAGTCCTGCTAATATCAAACACGATTCAGCATAGAGAAGAGGTATGACTCACTCATAAACTGTGCGACAGATGGGATCAGCATTCAGAAGACACACCCGGTCACCAGCACAGTCCTCCAGGTACCTCGAAATGGTGGACTTTCCCGAGGCGATAGGCCCGGTCAATCCAATCACCCAGGAGGCATGTTTCGGCTTCACTCGCGCGGAAGGCAGACACAGGAGGGGACGACCGAGGAGGTTTAATCGGAAGGTTGAAGAGCTAAACTTGAAGTCCACATAGTCGCGGGGACGGCAAAGTCCATCTGTGCTAAAAGTAACCACGTAACTCAGTGCTTAAAACAGTGAAGGTATGCTTTTCATTCCATAAAGCATAATGGTGAAGTATGGCATTCTTGTCTGAGCAATTTTGGGGAACTACGCTGGAACATCAAATGATGAACAATTCACTTTATAATACTTTTTAAAACAAAAGGTGGAAAACCATAGGGGTGTCCAGTTTACTTGGAAGTTAAAACATAGGCAGAACTGTGGTCCCATGGGATAACTCTTTACGTCCAAGTGACTACCTTTTGCGAAGCTTATTCTAGGCATGCGGAATAGAAATGAGTCCAGTTTTAAGAGAAGAGGTGAAGAGGATCGCAACTCAAACAGCCAAAAACATTATTCCAAAAGAGAAGTAATTAAGGGAAATTTGATGCACCACGTACCCTTTACGGTCAACGTACTCGACCTCTTCGATGTGAAGAGGATCAAAATTGAGGCTACGCCGCATCTCATTTATCTTCTCACAACCCTATGGAAAACATAACAAAGAACAACATGGTGGAAATAGTACTCACAAGAAGGCAAACAATGTAATATGGTATTGATATCAGTAAAAGATTTTAGTAAGCCGCTTTTCAGCTTTCTCCTGATTCGACTAAGATGTAAATGCCCAACAAATCCTCTACCGGGCTGTTGTCTTCCGTCTCCATGCATAAATGGAGCTCTATAAGATACTAAAACCTAAAAGTGACATTCCCAACCCTTTTGGGTAGCGAAGACGATAAAACCTAGCATTAAATCGCCATAATGACACAGTTTACCGCAGTGAACAGTAAGTATTTCATGAAATAACGAGTAAATTGGGCTATGAATGCTTAAAAGGTTGTAAGGGAAGTTCAGTAGTATGTGCCAATATTAGAAATGAAATTAACAAAAAATACCATGAACCTTTAGTGGATACCAATAAACCAATGTTTGCAAGTTCGCTTACCCGAACCGTCTCAAGACTGGCGACAATGCACTGAAAATCAGGTTGATGTGAGGGCGGCCCATACGGATCAGTAAGGCGGCATATTTCCAGCTGCTTTTCTGGAAAGTCAATATCGGTTAGGAATTTCGTCAGAACAGCTTCTCTAACCTCATATACCTGGATGAGGGGAGCGAGAAATTTCTCGTGAAGGAGACAAATGTCCGTGATGCCGACCAGTAAGCGACAGCTAGTTAGAAGGGCCGCAATGCTTAAAAGCACTCGATGACCATGGTGGAACATGTCAAATGTCCCACCGACGCACACCGACGGATAGGTGGTAATTTGTGACTCTTCAGAAGATGGTTCATCTGCCAAAGCTAACCACAAATGAGGCGTACGAAATGGGACAAACCAACTTTGTAACGAAACACGTTGCATCCATCAGAACCAGTACCAAAAGCAGAGGCTAATTCGATAATCTCATTCTCATCACTAGTCATATCGTCAGTGATGACGACACCAAAGATCCGACTTTTGTTTACAACTGTTTGTGGTGTGCGCGGAAGAAGAATGCAGATATCTAGGCCCGGGCATACCTAATGCAAAAAGGATTAGGGGAGTGGACACATATTACGCAGCTAGCAGATGAATAATACAGCGAAATGTACTTCTTCCATGTGTGCTCGCAACGCTTCTGGCAGGACGGAGATCGAAGGAGAACATATAACTTATCGGATACAAGGAAGGAGGCGTAACGCAAAACTGAATCAACTCCTTTAATCGACAAGTCATTGTTGACAATTAGCAACCCAAACTGGTCGACTAGAAATTAAAGAAAGCATATTAAGTTGCTTGGAATATCAGGTAAAATTGATGTGGCAAATTAGTAGTTTTTATCAATAAATGCACTATAGACACCGTATACATAGATATCATGGATATCAACAAATACCCTGAAAGTGGCACAGATAGAACCACAGTTTAAATTAGCAAAAAGCCAGCAAGTCGACAAACGCACGTGCACCTGCGTGATGCATGGACGACGAATTGATAATCTGATGAGTAATAAAGAAAAAAAGGTGTCACAAGTTCACGCTTGCTAAAGAATTTTTAGCCCTAGGGAGGAATAACCCATGACTGATCCCCAACCGTAATTCCAAGGCTTTCGTCAAAAATATTATCACCGCTGATAAGAGCCAAAAATATAAGAGTAGGGTCGGAAATATATAGACCATGTAAATACAAGCCTCAGAGAATTTTCCATACTTAGTGGGAATATGGATTACGCTAAAATAGCTGGTGTTCATCAGTAGAAGAAAGCAAAGAAAAACGAGCACGACGCACATGTGTAGTAAACTTTGTAGGAAAACTCGTAGCCGCCCTTTGTAGCGCGCCCTTCTGGACAACTAATTGAAACTCTTTGACCCCTATAATCAATACCTAGTCCCGGAAAGTTTTATTTTAACCATAAAATATAAAGCAGTTTTAGTTTAAAGCAAAGGTTAGGCTTTTTTATAAAATCAGGCATTAAATAATGGCTAAGATGTCAAAATCGTACCTAGTCTAATAATGAAATAGTCATTCATTAAAATGAGTAACCACCTAGCATATTCCATTTTCTTTCTAAAAAACATTTTGAATGATCTTATTGTTTCATATTTTAATCTGCGGATGTATTTTGTTGACTGTGTAAAAGATGACTTATTTGGCCACTTCATCTGTTTTTATTGCCTTACTTGGTATTTGTAGCCCCAAGCAAATATGCTTTTAAATTTGTTATCTGGATTAAGTTTATTACAGACTGCCCGCTAAATTGCAGGTAGGGTCACATCTACTTGTTCATATTTCCTTTAATCAAACTAGTTCTTCTAGAACGTTTTAGCCTTTGCCAAACAGAATGGAAGTTTTCAGTAAATTAATATTTACTATCTACTACTGGCTGTTCCAAGGATTTTATGCGGTGGCTTACTTTTTGTTCAAACGCAAACAACCGACTTTTGCTTGTGCTTGATGCTACAAACTTTTGTCTGCCCTTTGATAACTTTCTACGATTTTATATTTATTTCTCCAAACGTACCTAAGCACAAGTTTTTTTTCTGTCCCTCTAGTTATCCCTGATAACTTCACGAGGCTCATGGGCATAAGTGATGGGTTGAGCGAGTATAGCCATGAACGAGTCATCACGATGCCAAGGACCTGCAATAATTACAATGAACATATAAGTTTAGGCGGGTGGGATATTAGTGTTGGTAAATTCACTACCTGCTTCCTTTCGTGTCCCAAATGGCGGCAACTTATCTCAGCTCAAACTAGTAGTTGATGGTAGTGTGCACACTTTCAAAGATGTTGCATGGATCAAGAAAATATTGCCCTAGCGGTCCACAATGCATCCAAAAGATGGAAATGTTGTACAAGTTTATCCAAAATTTTACAAAATTGTAACCGGTTACATTACTGATATAGAAAGACTTACCACTTTGACCATTCAACTCACGCTTTTCTAAAAAAAGCCCAAAATCTGCCAACGGACGTTATTTGGCTCTTCTGTACCAAGTGCCTGTTTCTAGATTTATCACGGTGGTCGCATAAATAAGTAATGCTGCCCCATAATAAATGCGTCTATTCACACAAACAGACTTACAGGCGGAGACAGGCAGGTCCTAGGTGGCTGATCCAACCTTACTAAACTCAGTACCAGCGAAACTACTATAATTAAAATCACTGTTTATGTTGAGTACTTTAACACCTTTTTGTGTCTTCTGTGATTAAAGCCAATTTCTACAAGTGGTATAAAATGGGTAAAGTAGGCAGTAACATAGAAAAATCGAATGTACATTCGTGTAATGCTTCGTTTATTTGCTTAACTCTCGGTTTTGGTAACAGCTCACCTGGGGAGCCTGGGGGTATGGCTTTCGGGACGTGCCAGTCGAACCCAAGCCCTTCTATGTGCCGACACTACATACTCTGCCCAAGTATTGTCTTCTTTCAACCCCAGGAAAGCTTTAAAGTGCTAAAATATACTACTTCTTAAACCTCTTGGTTGCGCTTTTTCCAAATTCCAAGCTCTTTTCTAATAAGTTATAGCGATGAGTGGGTGTGGTGAGGGAACTGCGAACGCCGCTACTGTGGGCCGAATTCGTTGAATTGTGGTAACTGTCTTGTAATTCCACCACTTGCAGATATTAGAGAGTTAGATTAAATTTATGTATTTGCCTTAATTTTTAGTCCGTTGGTGGGTCTATATGTAGGATGTAAGTGGGTATGATATTCAACGACTTTTCAAGCTGCCTGCTGGAGCCCTGGTCCGTCAGTTATCCACAGTTGTACCCAGAGCTGAACCTGTAGGGCAAAAAACAAAATGCATAAAAAAATAGATAAATTGCGTGATGCCTTCTGTACTTACGTGTAAACTGAGAATAAGCTAGATATTTCGTTTTTAAAAAGGCAAACTACCCAGAGAAAGTAGAAAACCCCGAAGTCAGTCCGATAATGCAGACAAAAATTTGGGCATGTTGGGCATGACACTTGACATGATACAAAAATAATCTATCAAAATCAAGATAGGCTGGCATGTCAGAACTCTGAAAAAATTGAAGAATGAAGGCAAAAGAAGGCATAATAATTGAGCAGAATTTACATTTTGGACGTACAGAAAGGCTGAGGGGCTACTGCTATGGGCTAGAGACTGGATTGCTTGGCAAAGGTGAATTAGGGGAACCCCCATATGATCCGTCACCGAAATCGAGATTTAAATAAAATATTACACATTCCCTCTCCTCATTTGCGCGTCGTCCTCGGCGCTCCCCTCGGTCAAACTTCCGCACTGGCCATCACAGCGTAGTCGGTGCTGTAAGAAAAACACTCAGCAGCCAACAGCACCAAGCATCTAATTTGTATGTCCTATTTGGCGACTGTGTTGGTGGAAGGAGAATGAGCCGGACATCACGTGTGTCCATGGCTAGCTGCAGGAGCACTGACCTGAAAGAGAGTCATATAACAAAGGACAGGATTTAACCAAGGTTTATGAGGATAAGGTTTCGTGCCAATTCCTCTTCGGCACTTTGTTCTCATATTAGAGCTGTTCAGCTATACCTACTCCTGTTCTATGCAGCTGGTAGAGAAATGGAGGAGGTATCGCGTGTTCGACTCATACAGGTATGGCAGGCAGCTTCGTAACCAACTTTTCTAGATGGTTCACGGCTATGGACAATGTCGATTCGTTGTCAATAGCAATCATGCGAAACACAGATTTAAGGCAGTTTTACCGAAGTTGGGTATTATTTTCAACCCTTCTGTCATGATTCTTCACAGATTCTCCCATACGCAGCATGTACACTTCTTCCGTTAGGCTAAAGTTAATCACTCAGTAGTAGAAATCAGGATCTTCGTCCTTTAGGATAGGCTTCGCATTTTGCTGGCACCAGCGTAGCTCCCGGAGGCCTTCCTGAAGATGAAGGAAGACAACACTAGGCAGAATATTTATTGTTGGCACTCAGAAGGGCTTGAGGGCTACTGGCCTTGCCCGAATGTCAGGCACCCAGCAGAGGTACAATGGTGAAGCCCCTCTGTGACCCGTTAACATAACTGACAGTTAAACAAACAATTACGTTACTGTAATGTAAGTAAAAAATTCACCTCTGTAATAAATGATCTGAGAGTTGGTGACATTAAGACCGATTGCCCTATGGGCTGGAATGAACAAGTGACTAATGGTCAAGTACAAGGGTTTACTAGAAATTTCGGCAAAGATTTGGATGGAGTGTAGCCAATAAAAAATTCAAACATCCCTAAACATTAGTTGGATAGGTAGTTCATTCAGCTAAATTAAAAGCGTCTAGTTTAATTTGCCATCATGCCTTTCCTTAATGGCCCTGGAGTGTCTAAAACTGTCAATGTCTCAATGAGTCTGACTTTCGTTCCAATCAACTCATCCCATTTAATTAAACCTTACATGAAGCTAACCTCTTCAGTGGCTCGATAAACCTCATATTCCTTTGTTATTCTCAGGGGAGAAGTATAATGCCACCCGCGAATAGATTTCACATGCACTGGTATCTTATCATCAAGTCACCTAATTTTCGAGCTCGCATCATTAAAGTATTGTAGGCTTTTTCAGAATCATTCATCATTGACCCAACAAAAATGCGAAATCGCAATCGTCCAAACACCTATCAATCATAGCGCCCATCATGACATGGTGTTACAACTAATAATTTAACTTAATCTCCTCGCCTTCAGTTTACATCTGGGTAACTTTTACCCAGGCCAATTTATTTAAAAAATAGTTTCATAAAGGAACTGACTTTTATATGAAAATTTTCGTGCGTGTGTGAATGCGGCAAGGCGACATTCAGGCCCTCCCCATCCCCAATTCTTATTCAAACTGTCGCCAACGCTTGGGTTGGTTAATTAATATATCCCAGATACAAAGACTGCTTTTGATACGGCTATTTTAATTAAGAATATCCAATCTTTTAAACAAGGAGGTTATTTGTAAATACCTAAATATCCAAATATACAGTAAGGAAAATTGTAGCTGATCAAATCGCCACGAACGGTACCTTCAAGGTCTTAAAATACGCCGAGGCTACTTTGGGATAAAACCTACCTTAAAGATCAGTACTGAGAAGTTCATTGCAATGCTGTCTAGCTATATTTTGTGAATAATCGTCCCCAAATGGCCAGTTCACAGATCTATCAAAAAACAAACAGAACAGTTAATACTCCCGTGAGACGTGTCTGCGAACACACAATTGCAATGGAGGCTACTAACACTAACAATTTCCCAAAGGTGCCATTACCTTTGTCTCAGGCCAGCCAGTCCTCCCATTTCACTCTCCCAATTACAGGTGGGCCAAACCTTGTGGGTCAAATCCCATGAGAACGTGGTAGCAAAACCAATTAACCTTTTCGATATATTTCCCAACACGACTTCCTTTGATATTACTCAATGTGTAACTGAATAGGAATGGGTCTTGGATTTGAGTGAAGACCTAGCAAAGTGAATGACAGCGGTGTAAAGGTGAGAAGTTCACGA